GCCGTGCTGGCATCCCGGCTCAGGCACAACACTATAGGCTATTAGCCGTGCCGTGCCGTGCCATGCCGTTGGGCATGGCAGCCCGTGCGTGCCCATGCCGCTCCTGGCCCGACGCGGCGAGGCCATCGCGCAGCCGCTTCCTCGCCGAGGCCGTCGCGTCGCACATCGATGCCGCTCATGCTCTCCAGCTCGTCAACACAGAGGCCATTGCGCCACCGCGCCGCCACACTGAGGTCGCTGTGCAGCTCCCCCACGTCGCTGCAGACCACGCGCCGCCGTCGTCTTCCACTCCGCTGTCGACCTGGGGAGCAGAGGAGCTGCCGCTGGAGTTGCTGCGTCTCGCCGCCGCCCCTGGAGCCGCTATAGTGAAGGAGGCCGTGAGGCTGCTGCGGGAGGGAGTGGGGAACGGGGAGCGGCGGCTGGGAGGGAAGACGCGGGGAGTGGCGGCCTGGAGCGAAGTCGCGTCCCACTCGCGTGTCGGAGGAAGTGGCGGGGTGAGGAATTGAGGATGGGAACTCAGAGGTGTGGGGGATTAGTTTTAAACCTAGGGTTTCATCCAACGGCTGATATTCATCAAAAGAGGATCCAACGATTGGAAATAGCCGGGCCGCATCATGCCGGCCCAAAAACCGTGATGTGCCCGGGCCGGCACTACAGCCCGGTGAGGCGGCCCAGACACGGGCACGATGCCGGGCCGGGCCAGGCACGGGCACAAGGCAGGTCGTGCCGCACCGGGCCAGTGCTGTGCTTTTTCGGACCGGGCCTGTGCTGGCCCAGTGGGCCTGGCCCATCTGGACATATATAATGAGACTCTCCATATCCTTCCTAAATGGTAGGAAAAGAGATTTTGGTGAAAAAATACCCTCCAACAGCTCATCTAAATGGTTATCCAAATATAGCTATCTTCTATTTTAGATTTTTTGCTAGCAAAAAATAGAAGACGAAAATGACTCCCTAGAGTGCGTATGAGATATAGAAGAACTGTTGGAGAATGAAACGATATAGAAAATGATATTTATGCAAATAACTCTCCAAATAATGATTTAGAGAGTGAGACTTAAAAAGGCTCCTGGAGATGCTCTAAGATAAATTTCTTGTAACTCTGTCCAAGTGTATAGAACCTAAAGTTAGATTCTTTAAATCCATTTATTAAATATATCTTGATGGTGGATTTACTTGTTAGTGTAGATAACGTATGTCTTGATGTTTCTAAACTATACTCTAATTCACTGTAGTTTGTTATATGTCAAACTTATCTAACGTTGACCAAACTTTTGAAAATAAATTAGCATGTACAAACTCAAGTAAATGCATTAAAAATATTTCATGGAGAATCAACAAAACTAAATTTGGCGTTCAGATGCTTGTGTATTCTTCTAATGGTTAAAATTAAATAAGTTTAGCTTAGTATAAAGCTAAAGTAAATTATAATTTGGAACGGAGGCCGTATTTTTCTAAAAAAAAATAGTTTAAGGTTACAAGTCATTGACTTTGGACAAAACTAAAAAGATCTACAATTTAGAGTGGATGAAGTAGCGTACACCCTCTGTCCCAAATAATTAAGTGCATATCTCGTATTCCATTAAATCAACCAAACTTAAATTTGACTAAAGTTTATAGAAATAGTATCAACAGTTATGTCTTAAATAGACTAACTATAAAAAAAAATATTACACTACACATATTTGGTATCATAAATGGTATTAGTATTTTTAATATATTTGATCAGAGTTGAAATTAACATAAAATTAGTTGACTTTTTAAAAATGAGATCGTGCACGTACTCTTTTTGGGGACGGATGGAGTACAACTACTAATGGTTGCACTATGAGCACCAGCAAATGCAAGGAGCGTGATGCTTCTTTCTTCACCACACCGTGCCTTAGCAAGTTTTTCATTAAGAGGAGGAAGCAAATAATCGTGACAGCTAGTTAGCGACCTGTAATCCTTGACTTACCGGTAGTTAAGGAGTATTCCGGGCAGGATAATTGTGACAGCTAGCCTTCCAACTAAACTCCTAGCTTAGGATGGAGACCGGCTAGAGATAGGCTAGCGACCGCAATTGAGAGATGCATGATCCAGATGCTTCACTTGCCATGTCGTTGTTCTTGTTCACGATCACATCTGAATGCCGTTCTCGACACGACAGCATCGTATAGTACACTCCATTGGCTTTTGTGATAGTAGATAATTTGAGTGGGTCCATATGAGGCATGCATGCAGCTGCCATGGGCGCGGGCTTCATCGCCAAGGGCGTGAGCATCCTCAACAGCGCCGGGCCGGGGCAGGGCCAGGCGGTGGCGCTGCTGGTGAGCGGCGACCGCTCCGTGGTGTACCAGTGCGAGGTGAAGGGTCACCAAGACACGCTCTTCGCGCACTCCAACCGCCAGTTCTACGCCGACAGCGACATCTCCGGCACGGTGGACTTCGTCTTCGGCAACGCCGCCGCAGTGCTGCAGCGCTGCAACATCCAAGCCAGGAGGCCCCGACAGGGGCAGCAGGACGTCGTCACGGCGCAGGGCCGCGCCGACCCGAACCAGAACACGGGGTTCTCCATCCACCGGTGCCGGGTCACCGGCGCGCCGGACCTTGGGGAGACGCCGGTGTACCTCGGCCGCCCGTGGCGGAGGTACGCGCGGGTGGCCGTCATGGCGACCGCACTCGACGGCTCCGTCGCGCCGGCCGGGTGGCTGCAGTGGTCGGGCCAGACCGCACCCGCCACGCTCTACTACGGGGAGTACCGGAACACCGGCGCCGGCGCGGCGACGGCCGGACGGGTGACGTGGACTGGCGTGCACACGTCGATGTCCACGGAGGATGCCACGGGGTTCACCGTGGCGAATTTCATCATGGGAGATTCGTGGTTGGATGCCACTGGAGTGAAGTATACTTCGGGACTGTAATTAAGGAACGTTGTCATATATGTATAACCTCCTGCTAGTGTTATCGTCCATGCTAGTTCACATCACATCTCTATATGTTTTTATTAGACACTTTTGGATATAATTAAGAACATGAACAGTTTGGTCTGGTACTTCAGAAAACAACACGAACTTACTCTCGTGTACTGAAAGTCGATGTATACTATCCTATACTCATGTAAATAAACGAACTAGAAATATTGCTGAGCTCCAGATAGCTGATCGCTCCGTCTTCTTATTCTTGTGGTTGCTGTCACACGAAAGAACTCCAGATAGCTGATCCCTCCATCTTCGTATCATTTCAGAGCATCCTCGTCTTCCAAGACCCGAAGCGTCGACAGCTCGATGAAATCAGTGACCCGGATTCCCATGGGCCTGCACCACAGTTTGATGACAACAGAAAAAGGCACATCTGGGTTCAGGCATTCTTTTTTTCTGATCCTGTTGTGTATGTTCTGTAACTTCTGTTCTGCAAAGGAACAAAGTGATCGATCGAGTGAAGTGAGATGCTAGCTAGCTAGCATGGGTTACCAGTCACTACCATGGGAAGCAGGCCTTCTCCGGCAGCCGCATCCCGAGGCGAGGCCCTTCGTCGAACCCTTCGCAGATCACCTCCCCGCCGTCGTCTCTGTAGCACACCACCCCTCTCACCTGGTCCTCAAACACCTGCGTGCACAGAAAATTCTCACGAAAGAGTCACCCAGCCAGATTCATGAGCAGCTTCACTAGAAGCTATGGGAGCAGTAGCTAGATGGAATGCCGCTCACCGTCTTGATGGATCTTGCGGAGCTGGAGGACGGGTGCTCGTGGCTGCTGTGCGCTGTGGTGCCGCTGAGCCTCAGTGTTGTTACCTTGCTTTTCCTTGTGCTGAATCTTGGGACGGCAGTGGTGGAAGGAAGGCCATGGCAGGAGCTCCTGATCGCCATTATTAGACTCTTGGAGCGAGCCCCGCTTGCCGGTTTTCGAAAATACAAGTGTGGGTGGGGTGAAGTGGTTGATAAGCTCTTTCCAAGAACGAGCTTATTGCATTCTCGATTTGGCACACTGGTGCCTGCCTGACAGTGGTTGGTTGGTGCTGAACAAGATGGCATTTCTTATATGCAATGCTGCTATGTCCACAAGCAACTATCACCAAAAGGAGAATGGCGCACATTTGCTAGTGGAAATTCCTTAATCTTTTTTTTAAAAAAAAATCACAAATATAGAGCTTGAGTTTTTTTTACAAACAGATGTGATAACTAGTAAACACTAGGAGGAATATAACTCCAAATGTTTGAATAGAGAGGTTGCACACAGAGCTGCTTCATTTTCTTTTGGTTCTTTTGGAGGTGTTTTAAGGTTCATTTAGCAGTGTAATCTCATTTGGGTGTAACACATCTGCTTATCATGCTCCTTTAGTCCTTTCAGGGTTTTGCGGGCCTAACCAATCCCACCATAGACATTATCCACAAGATTGTTGATAATATTCTCTAATTCGTAGAACCGACAAATCCTTATCTGGGTGATGTGGTACACTAGTATAATATACACAAAACAATTAGATATGTGTTGCCGATGGTGAACAAGACACCAAATCTGTATCTTTACGACTATTCTGTTCCATGTGGCGTCTCGCCGTCTCGGTCATGATTTACGATTTGAAATGCTTTTTTTAGATAAACGATTTGAAATGTTTATATCACTGTTTGTACTGAAGATAGAAATTGACTTCACCGCTTCAAACATGCAAAGGAATTTGTTCATTACCCCTCACTGCCTCTCCCCATCCAAAATAGTATGTCCAGATCCCACAAAATTCACTCTAGCCAACCAGATTTACCTGTAATGACGTGATGGTAACAACTAGTAAGTAGTAACTGCAACTCAAGAAACATCTGCAAGCCCAAATCTCAAGCATGTAGTGTATACATTCCCGCGAATCGGCATAATTACACTCCTGAAAGCCAGATTTCTCTCGAGTCAGCCAGCTATTGTGAATAGTGTGAAGTTACATTGACAACGCATCAACGCCTAGTTGATCCACTGATGATTTATTTACAGAGTGCAATCATAGTTTAGCATCGGAAGGCCGTCCAGGGTTCACATTTGCAGGTCTCTTCTGCAGCAGGGTTTTAGGCCGCAGCACCTCATACCATCCACTGAAAAGTGGACCACTTCCTTATTCACATGTTTTCGAGCCATTCCATCGCCTCTTGGAACAGAAACCCAAGCAGAATACAGTGACTGTATGGCCTCTTCCGACAAACCATTGCAACTAAGATCAAGCACCCTCAATTGCTTTGCTGAAATCAGGGCCTCCGCCAGTTCTTCAATAATCTGACAAGAAGAGTAAGAGTTTTTCTGCAATGAACTTGCACAGCTCCTATGTGGACCAGATATGGCAGGGTGGGCATCATTATCTGCTTCATCTTCACTATCTGGAACCTGCATGTTTGCAAAATCTATGTCCCCTGGAGCTATATCATTCTTTGTTTCAGGGTTATTACATTGTTTTTGCTCAGCAGTTGTTGATACTTCCTGCATGTCTTCGTCATACTTTATTGTTCTCTCCGACTCCAAGTTCGTGTTCTTAGAAATGCGCAGCTCCTCTAATTGGCTATTTTCTGAAAGTAGAAGAAGATTATTAACTTGTAGAGACTGATGTTTCAACAAAATTGTTCCTCACCTGATAATGATTGAATAATACGAACAATTCCAGCAAGTCCAAGATTGCATTTGTGAAGGGCGAGAGATCTAATACTGCATTGGGGATTTACAAGCATTCCCTGTATAGCATCACATCCCTGCATAATATAATGTAACACAGCAGATCATTGCTGCTGAAATATGGGGATATATGTTACCAAAGCATATGAGAGTAGGAATTAAACCTCCAGGTTAATTGGATTTCCTCCAAGGTTTAACTCAAGAATATTGATCTGAGAGAGATTTGTACAGATTTGTGTGAAATCAGGTGTTGTAAGCCCACAATTAGACAACTCCAACCTTAGCAATTCTTGAGATGTACAAGACAATGCCTCAGTAAGCCTAATTGTCTCCACCTGCATAAACAGCAGCACCAGATGAGATGACATATTGCTTGTGTACAGGCTGCAAACACTAACCACAAATGGAAAACAAAGCCTTTCTTTTTTCTCGAACACAAAGCCTTTCTTTTGAACGAAAGAAAATGGAAAGCAAATTACCGGTCCAATGGAAGTTCCACCTAGCAGAAGTCCTGATAGGCACGAGGATTGTGCAAGGAGGCACAGCTTATCAACCATTAACTTGTTCAGTTTTATACCAGTCAGGCTTAGTTCTGAAAACCTGCAACGACAACATGCATGGCTGGTCTATACTTGCCAACACCTTAGTACCTATCAACAGATATGGACAGTTTCTGCTAACCTTGTGAGAGACGCAAGTTTGGATAGAAGGTTAAGCATTGTATTGCTAGAAATTGGGTTGTTCTTTCCTGTCGAGGGTACGGAATTTTTGAGCGTTTGTAAATGGACATTGCTAATATACAAATCAGAAGAGAAGTAGGCCGTCATGAAAACAAGAAGTACCTAATGAGAGATGTGAAAGGACAGACTCTTCATCAAGTGCATCTGTCATCTTCTGAACAGTTCTTGAAGTGATAGAACACTGCTCGACATTCAAGCTATAAAGTGCTGTAAACAAAGCAAATACATAGCATACAGTTTATGAAGCAAAAATAAATGTCTCCTTAAAAAAAAAGGCTTATGGCAGTCAATGAAACAAAACAATAAAAATCAGGGAAAGCCCCGGCTAGCCTAGTCTCCAAAAGAAGCTATATGCATTTCTACAATTCTACTGATCTATCAAGTGCTACATACCTTTGCACTTTTGCAGGATTGTGAAAAGGTAAGAACTGCATGCATCAGTGAGGCGATTCCCAGAAAGATTAAGTACTTCCAATCGATTGGTCAAAATAGAGCACTCACATATCTATCCAGTAAATAAGGAGGCAAAAGGTGGCTTAGCATTTTACAGAATATATGCTGTAAAGCAAGAGATTATGTTGACTCGGGTCAAGAAGTGAGATCACTTGGAACAAAAACCAAATGAACTAAAACAAGTAACCAGCTAAAATCCCTAGCAGATTCAGTCAAAGAGGATTCTAGAGTTTGTTTTATAAGAAATATTAATTTCTAAAAATACCAAAGCATCAAGAAATCTTTAGAAACTAACAGATTGTTCATCAGGTTTTTTGTATCTTGTTCCAGAACCATTTTGCAAGAAGACCCAAGGTCTTCCTTTGATAAATAAATAAATACTAGTGGACCTCAAAGAAATGGCTTAAATATCTTGCATTCTTGTAATATAACTCCATTAACAAAGTGTATCAGATTACCACATGCTAGAATGATTTTCCTCATCTTTTTTAAACAGGACACATGTTACAAATGTGCAGAAGCTGAATGCAGAATTTCAAGCCAAAATCCCGATGGGGTGATAGGAGTATCATATTATTTCACTTTGACAGATAAGCTTCTGGGATTGTAAAAACCTGAAATAAAGCAGTTGGACCCAATCGATTACAATGTAAATCCAGAGTCAAGCCACCATATGTGTGACTTGATGAAGCAAATATATGCTGAAGTCTTTCAATTGTTTGGTTTCCTGAGATTTGTGGGCAGGAATAACAAATCAGTCCAATAAGCCATAGTATAAGAGCATAATTATTCTACACCATCCTACAAATTAAATCCACAAAGCAGCACAATCATCAATGAATTACTAACTGCTGAGTGATTCAAAATAATGTCCTTGAAAGGCTACAAAAGTCACGGCTTTAACTGCTTGGAACAGCACAAAGCACTACATAAAAGGGACTGCTAGAACATGTTATGTGCTGCACTACAACGGCCTAAAGAAACAACCATTTAGCTGTAACTGATTTATAGAGCACTGTTGAAGTAATTATGAAATGAAATGACTGTAATTACTGGAAAAAAGGCTACCTAGTAAATTATGAGAAAGATCCAAAACTGCTATTGTTTTATGAGATCTTAGGGCATCAAAGAAAGGCGCAATTGCGTATCCTGCAGTCCGCAATCAGAAACAATTATTTCATCTTCAGATACCTGTCAGAAAATAGAAGGAACATATTTGGCATTAGTTAAGTAGAGCTGCTTTTTGACACTATCATTCACATACGACATACTGAGCCATGCATATCTAAAATGTTTACCTCAAGATTATATAGTTTTGTCAGCAGCTTCTTATTGGGTGCTTCTGAGGACTTCATGCAGAAATCAACATACAATTTCATCAGCCGCTTTGGCACCCAATCTTCATTACAAATATGGTACGTCAGAAGATATTGACTGATAAAAATATGGAAATTATGTTTCACAGTTTCATCATGATGTGTTTCTATGGGAAATAATGAACTTCGTCAGTGGAACCAGGGAGAGGGAAAGGGGCTGCTGGGGAAGGGGTGGTGGTGGGGACAGACAACATATAGATCTAGCAGGTGCTAGCTCTGTGTGACAAGCTCAAGTACACAATGGGTGCTGAAGAATCCAAAAATAATTTAAAGCGGACAGAGGTAAAAGCTTGTCTTCCAGCCAGAACTCAAAGCCTCACAGCAACTACTAACAAAAAAATAGACTGAGGACCTTATTTTCTTATCGAAGAAGTTTAGTGCTCTTAAATAAGGAAACCCGAAAGTTGAGAGCTGCTGCTACATGCCATTTTTCGATAGCCCTTAAGAGTGAACTTAGTACTGTAAACCATGATGAGTCAATGATAGTCTAAACTTGTATGAGGCAGTGTAATAACCTGCACTGGAAACTTACAGAGATAAAGAGGAAGGTTTCTTAACATTGTTTGGATAGGAACATTGTTAAGAATTTTTCTTATTGTCATTACAAGACAATGGAGCAGTTGGTAAGTTGGCACTATCATTGTAGTAGACTAGTATGATGCAGTATTGCAGTATATAAATTGCATATTCTATATTTCTATTTGGCACTGCATTGTAGTAGGCTACTATGATGCAGTATATAATTGCATATCCTATATTTCTATTTGGCACTGCATTGTAGATTTGTAGTAGGCTAGTTTGATGCAGTATATAAATTGCATATTCTATATTTCTATTTGGCACTGCATTGTAGTAGGCTAGTATGATGAAGTATGTAAATCACATGCTCTATTCTATTTGTGTATTAGACATTTTTCAATTGTTGAATTTGTTAATGCATATCCTATGCTAGCAATCAAGGAATCAAAGGTGGGTTTCTGGGCAAGGGTTCGCTTGGATTTGAGAATAGATAAATGGGCTCTTCTCCACTGGAAGGTTTTTCTTGCCTACCAGCAAGGCTACTAGGCAAGGAGAGCAAGGGAAACAAACATGCCAAACGATCTTCATGTGTCCTAGTATCCATGCAATAGTAGTCCTAGGAATATAGTTGAGAACAAGGCACTCCATTCTATAAAGACAATGAACATGCATACCATCAATAACAACATCAACACACTTCTGTTCAGAAGCAAGCTGATCATCATAATATATGGATGCCGCATCTTCCAATACCTTTCCACAAAACTTGAGTTCCCCAATGATAGGCAATAGACCTAGAAGTAATATATGAATGTAAGATCCCATCAGCTAGTATAGAAAAATAAAATGCAAAGGCAACAAATTAAACAGTAATTGGCGAGAAAGCAGAACTTAGAAGACAAACCTTTGGCCCTTTTTTCATCAGAAATCTGAAGATAATATACACATGCTACTTCAACTTTGAGAGAGTCAATGCTAAAAGCACCTTCATGTACACAAGCGCGTCCATCCAAGTAAACCAGATGGCCACCGATTCTAAAGGCCCAAAAGTGCTGCAGAGGAAACATCCCATTTTATTCTACAAGAATATCCATAGTTGGAGTAACTGGGTAACTTGCAAGTAAATGCCTGATGAGGGTCTGAGGCTAAGGAGTATGCACAGATCCATCAGATTTAACTATGCACCTCCTGCTTCTTCAAATAAATAAATAAATATCAAGAAGTGCCTCTTACTTTCATGCAAGAGAACTGTGTCATTTTATTAAATAGGGGGGACTGCCCCTGTTCACAAAGTATTATCCGGAAAAAAAAAAGTCCTGTTAGGTGCGAGGATCAGTTTTAGCACATCAGTGCATGTGTAGACATATCAGAGTAATTGGCTGAAATGACCTGCTATGTTGCATGGTGCAGAATGTTGACCTACGAAAAGACGACATGTTCAACAGATAAGTGTCGCGGAAATGCATATGTTGCGTTGGATTTGCGGTCATACAAGAAGGGGTCGAGTTCGGAACGATGATATACGTGATAGATTAGGGGTACCACCAATTGAAGAAAAGCTTGTCCAACACCGGTTGAGATGGTTTGGACATGTCCAACATATATCTCCAGAGGCACCGGTGCGTAGTGGAATCCTAAGCCAGGATAGTAACGTGAAGAGAGGCAGAGGAAGACCGAAGTTGACTTAGGTAGAGGCAATAAAAGGAGACTTGAAAGGATGGAATATACCCAAAGACTTAGCCTTAGATAGGAGTGCTTGGAAAACAGCCTGAACCTTGATGGCTTCTGCTGGGTTTCAACTCTAGCCTACCCCAACTTGTTTGGGACTTAAAGGCTTTGTTGTTGTTGTTGTTCTTTTCACTTGCTGGCATTCTCGAGAAATTATAATTTTGAAAGCATGGAAAGATAGAAGTAGCTATAATACTTACATTATCAGCATCTGTGGATTGAAGACCAACAACATTTTGGCTCTCATGCAGACTGTTTGAGCCACCAGGAGTACTGAACTTGGAACCACTTGCTGCTGATTTGGAGGCTGATCCCTTTCCTACACTGGAAGCACCTAATCCTATGCCTTCAAAAGCATGACCAATAGGACTACTTGATTTGAATGAACAAATACTTTCCTCAGCAGGACAGGGTGCATCCCTTGTTTGATTAGGTTGTAAAGTATCCTGCAGATGGATAGAAGCTCTCAATATCTGGTGCTTCAGGAGAAGTACAATAAAAAGTCAAGAACTGACTGCTTTAAATTGCCATCAACATCTGGTGTAACCAAAGAGAACCAGCAGATGATGTAAACCACATCATGGCCCTTTTAGCATATCTCCAGCTTCGAAAATTTCTTGGATGGGGATATAGTATACAAGAATTCGTGCAACTGGAGCTTGGGAGAGGGATATATTGAGGGTGTTTGGGTGAAGAAATTCTTTTTGCATAGCAAACTAAAAATAGATATTTAAACTGCTATATATTAGCCTAAAACTCTACGCCCATGGGAGCTCAATCCCTGACAAATATGGCTTAGATTTCAATTCCCAGTCAAGAACATAAGCCTAAAGGACCATCAGTCTTTTGTTACCTGGTTTCTGCTGCTGTTTGCTCCATGATCTGCTGGCCACGAAAATGAGGCGTCAATACAACTAGGAGATAAATTTTAGCCATCCCAACATATGAATATGCAATGCTAATCAACGCTGTACCTGAGATTGACATACTATCTGCTGGACTAGTTGATGTCCTTTTAAATTGAACGATTTCAGGATTCTCATCAGATTCATCATCTGATAAGATCACACGGAGACGTTTTCGGCCAACAGAGTGATCAGCACGTGATCTACTTAAAACTGTCCTAGTGCCTTCAGCCATATCACCTAGTTCATCAACCTTCTTAGAAGAACTACGTATGTCTTCAGCCACATCACATAGTTCATCAACCTTCTTAGAAGAACTCCGTATCTTGGGTGCCTTAATCTTGGATGAGCTCCCACTCCTATGAACGAGTGAAGCAAGTGTAACATCATCATCAGGTTCCTCAGAGTAGTTATTTGCAGCCTGCCCATAGTCATTCTCAGCATCAAGCATATTATCTGATGCGCAACCACCTTCAGTGTCAGTTTCTGAGCAATAGTCACTGATAGTATTCCTTGCTTCACATTGATTCAATGTTTGCTTCAGATTGTCTATTTTTTCCTGCATTTTCCTAAAAAAGGAAGTCCCTTTAGTTTGCATAAAATAAAATTCTTTTGTGCAAAATCTGTTCTTAGTAACTTACTTGGCTTCTTCAATATTATCAAATCTGACCATATAACTGTAATGCATATTCTCAAGGGCAGAAAGTTGCACATTAGGTAGGTCTCCTTCCAAAGCAATCCTACATATGATATGATGCAAGCATCAGAAACTAAAGATGGAAGCACCATGCTGTTAAGGACAAGAGCAGTTAATTATTAAAAAAATAGGTGGCACGGGCACAGACCCAACACAATAATGTGACACAAAAACTAAAACGGCAATATGGGATTAAACAATAAACTCTGCAATATGTTAAAAGTATAAAAAATGCTGGATGTTTAGGACAAGCTCAATCCCTTGATATATATAAAGTGTTTCCCTAGAAGATTGGTGCAATACAGAACTAAAGATGCAGCTATAATCAAGATATTAGCACTCACAATTTCTCATTTCTAAATCGCAAACTTTAAAAATATAGTTTCCATTAATACAATAAATGGGTTACATTAAAAAATACAATAAATGGGTTCTCAAATGCCTAAAAGAAATGTTAATGAATAAAGCCTCCAATGTCATGTCCTATGTGTTGTTCATGGCCATTTACTTAAGATCACAGCATGCAAGCTTACTTAAGATCTTCTGACTTTTGGACAGGAAGACATCAAGATAATACCTGTAGCCTTCTTCGTAAGCTTGCAATGCACCAGGCCAGTCAGCACAAGAATCAAGAACATTGCCAATGTTCACTTTCGCTAATGCTTGTCCCTGAAAGAGGACATCTCTTAGATGAGCACAATTTGAAATCAGAATCATTGCTTTTAAAAAAAAAAAAAAAGAAATCAGAATCATCAACTAAAGCGAGTACAATGGAAAGGTGGTCATACTAGTAGGAGGCATGACAGCATATTCACAAATACAAATGAGGAAATATAGACTAGTGACTCACCTCCAAGTTCCCAATCGACCGATATATGTCCCAACTTCTCATGTACCACTTACGAGCTTTACTGAAGCTTCTAAGCTTTTGGTATGATTCCCCTATCGACAGAAAAGAATCACTCAACTTTTCCTGATCGCAAAGTTCTTTTGCTACCCTTTTTTTCCCTTTTGAGAATTCCTTGTGCTGGAGAACAAATAGTTACATGAATGAGTCATGAGATTATTATATTGCACCTCAGTGCATTGTTGATATTAGTGAGGTGAGCATAAATGCATTTGTCCTATTTGCACAATGTTTTAATCATTTCAGTTCTGAAATTCAGAAAGTAAATAAACTGATCAATAGTTGGCTTTCAAACATAATATAGCAAATGAAAGTGTTATCTATGATTGGTTTTATCAGGCTCCCACGTTTATGTTATGTCTCAGGACATCAAAATGGGAATGGGCAGTGTGACTTTTCTGACGAAGCTGGTCACACAAAGACTATGTACCAAACCATTTCCCATGGCACCAATCTAACATTAGAACAGTAACAAATAGTTCCATCAAATCAAGGTTACTTTTCTTTGCATTGCTCAGAGAAGTTTCAGGTTAATAGAGTGCAGTGCAAACATAAAATACAGGTAACTAAGTTGGAAGTTATAATCCCTAATTGTGCAAATAAGTTAGTAAGAGGTTCCAAATAAAACATTCATATTTCTGACAAACAAAACATTATTTCCTATTTAAGTAAACTTTATGTTCAAATTCAGCTAACCAGTTATTTTTTGGGGAGATCATATACAGTTCCAGAACTGCAATTCAAAAGATAAAACCAAGAACAATTGTGTCTCAGTTCTTTCAGTCATAAAAGCTATCATGCTGATTATTCATGCACATGCATAAAATAGGATAAGAAATGAAAAAAAAATTCTTACTTGTGAATAAGATCAAAAAATTAATAAAACAAATTCTGCTGGATATGATGGTCCAAGTTTATAGCAAGGTGACTAAAAATCATCTACTAGTTACCATGCAGTTCGCTTACTTTTTTCCATGCACATATAATGCTGGCCTTCTCAATAAGATTATCCAGCCATGCATGCTGATCAAGGAGGAGTTTTCTCTCTTTAGACGTTCCACGAGCATTAGAAGTGTCTCGGACAAGTTTTTTTAGCTTCTGTTCATCCTCCTTCAACTGCTCAAATACTTCAACTGCTTTTGTAACAGTTTCAATATTCTGGTGAATTTGTTCAACTAGAGCATCCTCATCTTCCAAGGATTTTGCTACTTCAAGAGCTTTATTGTAACAACGTTTTGCATAGTCATAATCCTGAACTCGATAATGCAACTCCCCCAGATTTATGTATCCTTTTGCCTCACCTTGAAGATGGCCTATTTTTTTACATATCTGTATATCCTTCCGGATGTGCCCACCGGCTTTTTCCCAATTCTGTAGCTCAGTATACACATTTCCTAGATTATGATGGAGCCTAGTGCGAGCATCATCATATGAATCTACCTCTTCGTCGTCACATATCTTCAGACCCTGGATAAGTAGTTTCTCAGCTTGTTCAAAATTATCAAGTTCCAGCTCAAGCATGCCCATATTATTGTAAGCATCAATAAGTTCTTTTAGAAAGTCTGACTTTTGAGAAGGGGATTTCTCCTTTAGAATCCTTGCCAGCTTCATCGAAGATTTAAAATACTTCTTTGCATTCCTTATGGCACTATGGTCACTTTCAGATCTTAGAAGGATCTCATGGTATGTTCTCCCAAGCTGTGTGGTAGCTCGCTGCTGCTCAACAAGGTCATCAGAATCCTGTGCAAGCTGTAGATGCTTCTTCTGTCAAGCCAACAAACATCAAGGGAAACGGAAGTTTGAGTTCATGTAGCAGAATCAGCAAAATGTAAATTTTGGGTTTATAAAGTGAGGTCTGAGTATTATTCTAATTCTTAGCATCCCAATTATAACAACAAGAGGTTAGCATTTAACACCACAGAGGCAGTGACTAAATCACCTAATGATCATATCTTGATAGATGTACATGTACTGTGACAGGGTAGATACAGCATGATTAGTAATGTAATGTAATCCAAGGTCAATAAGCGTGTGAAACAACTAAAACAATCAACATGTGCTAAACCCAACACTGCGAGCCAAATATAGGCTGAATCGAGGCAGGGGGTCACATATACATCACTAATATCAGACATTTCAAACACTTGATCATATCAGACTTTGATGTACAGACGCACTACTAGAAAGTCCACACCACAGCAGGCATTCAATTGTATATGTATACAGTCCCTAATAACATAATTTGAGAATAATCAAACCCTACAATTGACACTGCAGTCCAAATGCATATCCAGATCAATAGGCCACCAAATGGTCGAAAAACTCATAAATTCAGCACCGAAATTACCACTGCAAGTGGGAATGCATTAGCGTTATACTGCACAGCCCAGCTCCTGTCGTTTTAAACATCTGAAAATTATGGTCGGTACTCGGTAGGCAAGTAATGAGAAGCGAGGCGGGTGGTGGGATGTGAGGACTGAGAGTGACCTGGTATTTGAGCGCCTCCGAGAAATGGCCGAGGCGGAGGTGTACCTCGCCGAGCGACTGGCAGGAAGGGAGGATGTGCCTCTGCGGGAGGTGCTTGACGGAGACCTTGTAGTCCACGCGGAGCCACCGGAGCGCCTCGACGTACTCGCCGCGGCGCTTGTGGATGTCGCCGATGACGTTGGCCCAGCGCGCCTCCTCCTCCCGGTTCCCCTCCGCCACCGCCTCCTGGTACCCGCGTTTCGCCCCCCGCAGCTCCTCCTCCTCCTCCTTCTTCGACCGCCCCCCGCCGTCGCGCGCCATCGCCACTGCTAGGGTTGAGGACCCGAGGCCTGTTTTTTCTATTTTTTTTCTCTTTCCCCACCCAGATTTTCCTTCGGAGGCAAGGAGGGAGAAAATGCCGGAATGGGGATTCTCCCGCCAAATTATTTCGGGGCGCGGCCTCAGTTTCACTATTTTTTTGGCTGCGTTTCTCGTGGGCCTAAGTAGAAAGCATACACATAAGATGGGCCACGGCTTGTAGGAGCAGGAGGTGTAAAGCTTCTGGGCTGTGTCACCTCATTGTTTGATCCTTCGAGAAAAGAAAGATAGCCCACGCTCAGGTAGAGCCCAACATCGTTTTCCATGGAGTGCTGGGTCTTGTGTGCTCAGAAGAGCTGGCTGCAACAGCCCTGCAAGCCTACAGCGCCAACACACTGGCAGTGTTAGAGCTTTGTTTAGTTTCTCCCCTAAAGTTTACTTTTTGTCCTATCGAATATTTAGATACATGAATAAAGTATTAAATATAGATTAAAAAAAAATTACACAGTTTGCCACTAATTTATGAAACGAATCTTTTAAGCCTAATTAATTCATGATTTGACAATGTGGTACTACAGTACACACATGTGCTAATGACGGATTAATTAGACTTAATAAATTTGTCTTGCGGATTACTGACGGATTCTGTAATTTATTTTTTTATTAGTATCCGAACACCTCATACGACATCCCTATGTGATATCCGACGTGACACCCTAAAACTTTACACCCTGGATTTAAACGAGACCTATATCAAACTAACCCAATTCGCAGTCCAGTTATTACCTCTCACAAGTCACAAATGCTGATTGAACTTGGTAAGAAAACCTGGTTTTTTTGTGACTAAAAAAACTTGGTTTTTTCTAGGCAACAACGGGGCTAAGGTCGCCCTCTTGAACTTTGATTAACTATAAACCAAGGTTCGCAAGGACAAGGAATCCCCAAGGGCATGTGAGAGAGTTTACAGGGTTTTTAAGTTACATCACGCGGTCCAAGGCACCAAATTTCTAGAGGATCGGTGTCCAGGGCGATGTGGTGCTCTGATTCCAGCACGCACTGGGCGATCACTCGTCGGATCGGGTTTACCTTAAATTCGACTTGTGCAAGCCAAGGTTCCAGCACGCACTTGTTCGTCGAAGACCATCTTAAGAACAGGTGGTGGTTGTCTTATTCTACCGGACGGAAGGGGCTAAAGGACGAGCCGAGCGCTCCATGGACCATGTCGCAGCCTCTTTGTGTTGACCGGCATGGTGGTAGACAGTGGCTGGTGCTGAAGGTCGTTGTCCCCCCCTCAAAAAACACAGTGTTCGAAATTCAAGCTCGCCGAAAAAAGGAACAAAGCATTCCAACCAATACGCTGACGAGTCGTTCTGTTCCTTCATGCCCATCCCATGTCCATGCCCCCCCGCGTGGCGCGTGCTGATCGCCTGATTTTCTTTTTTTTAGTTCGCGAAAAGTTTTCTCAAAGTGTTACAGTATCCATCACATCGAATCTTGCGATACGTGTATGGGACATTAAATGTAGACGAAAAAAACTAATTGCACAGTTTGGTTGAAAATTACGAGACGAACGTTTTGAGTCTAGTTAGTCCATGATTGAACACTAATTGCTAAATAAAAACGAAAGTGCTACAGTAACTAAATTTTCAACTTTTCCCCAACTAAACACGGGCTTTGTTGGGAAGGAGCAGAATCTAAGCTTCAGCTGTAGCAGCCGGTGGACTGGACAAAATCAGAGCCTCGCCCAGTCGTTCAGGTTCAGCCAGCGCCCTCCTAGCCGCGAAGGCGTCCACGAACCAAAACAACGCACGGGGTCGGGGGTCGGGCCGCCCCGTCAACGGGAGTACATACGGCGCCGCGCGCGCTGCAGCTTTTTACTGGCACCGCCCACGACGCGCGCATACGGCGCGACAGAGGAGTCATGACTCGACGCCGACGACGATGTCGGCATCCATCCAGCTGCTGAGCTGCAGATGCAGATGCACCTTGCAAGGTTCCGCAAAAGCCACGCGCGCGCGTTCTACTGCAATGCGTGCAGATGGCCCATGCCCATTCTTTCTAAAAATACTGCTAGTATCTATCTGTTGGTCTTGGTGGTCTATTTGGAGTTGTTTGGATGTAATTTGTTCAAGTTACTAGTATTGCATTACTTGTAGTCACGACAGTTATTTATTTAAATTATTGGTTTGCACGCTGTTTTATGTTGATCACATGATCAGTCGATACCTTGACGTTTGAAACACCACTGGAGCTGTTTTTGTCCAACGTTTTCTAAATCAACTTTAGCTCCACCAATGCAACTGCTCCAGGAGCCGAAGCTGAAAATTGAGTACTAACCTGCTTCCTATACTCAGAAAATGTTATTTTTGGATTTCTAGACCCGCTTTCTACACTAACATGGATGTGTCATCTTTGTCGTTTCTGTATGATTTTTTTTTTCAATAGTGAGTTTGTATCTCGACTTTCTCGCTTTATAAAAGCAGGGGTTCCCTCCGAAAAAAAAAGTTTGCATCTCAACTTTTCTTGTGACTACATATATGAATACACTAGGGATGAGCCAGATTTTTTTTGACTGAAATACGTTTTTTAATTGATTTACTATGTAATTAAGTTTTGTTTTTTGTGTTCCAATATATCATGCACACTTCATCACAATTCTTGTTGGGTTGCACTTGCACCCTCGTTCGCTTGTGTGCATTTGGCTTAGAAGGATGTGATTTATTTGGTGCCGTGTCTACATCGACGAAGGATGTAGAGAGAGTTAATTCTCGACGCTGTGGAATATGAGAGCGACAAGTAATCTAATAAGGAAAGAAGTTCCGAATCATGCATGTAATGAGTAATGACAAATATTGAAACAGAGGGTACGAGTACTGGACAGAGGTCAGCGAGAAAGAGCAAGATGCTTGGGGAAATTAGCGATTGATGTACTGGTAGTGCTCTCGCTACATGTTTGAAAGTCAGGTGGGTGCAGGTGCATCTACGCGCTGGTCACGGTCGACTCAGACCGCATCAAAAACGAGTTAGAAATGTTTGCATTCCCAGTTTGCATTGATCAGCGTAAAGAACGAAGTACTCTATGGCAGTTGGCAGGTCAGTCAAAAGCGAATTAGGTGGGACAGTAATTTGCTGAAAAACATATTCCAACTTGCATTTGAACTAACTAATTTATTACTTACGGTCACGAGTAGTAGTATACATAGTAATTAAGTAGATTACTTCCACTTACTTTTAGCCTCCATCATCTCTCAGAAAAAAAGTTGATCGGTCACCGCCGACGACTGTGTGTAGTACTAGTAAAAAAACGGCAAGAGCTCGTGCCGCGAATACGACGCCAGCAGCGCCAGACGGCCGGCACAGTGGCAGAACGTGGCTCGTGCACGCGCCTTTCCTTGTCGTACGTTCTCTTCCCTCGTCGCGTGTGCTAGTACGGGTACGACACAACATGATTGCCCGCGAGAAAGAGAGAGGAAGCGGCAGAGTGGGTGACGTGACACGGAACGCACCCCATGCAACGCCGTCACCTTTTGGACCTTTGGGGACTCGGGGCTACACCGTCTTCGAGAAGGAATCTATATGCATCTAGCAACACATCTAAAATCAGTTTTCAATAAATTGGCTATACGGAAGATCTATTTTGATTGTCTAAAAAGCATAATCTAAATATGAGCATCCTCTTTTTTAAAAACCTATTTATAGAAATAATTCTCTTTTAAATCTTATTGTTGAAGAAAATACTAAATAGATATTGAATATTTTGTCTGTAGCGTTATCTAAAGTAGGTCTTGTATTTTGGGTTGTCCTTGGAGATAGCCTCAGCAGCCGGGACTGAACCGAGACCGATCGGCAGATGAGTTCGGCACGGGTCGCTTTCGCCAGCCGACTTGGGACGCCACGCGCGCGACGGCGCGAGACGGGTCGGGGGCTCGGGTCTAGCGGGAGACTCCGCTTTGGACGGACGGACGGCCGAAAACGTGCGGGAAATCGGCAGGAAGAGGGCGAAACGACCACGGTGCCTGCGGGCCGCGCGGGAATGAGGGACGATGGAGAGTCGCGGGCGTTGAGTTGACCGAGCATGCTGTACGGCACGGCAGCAGGCATCTGACTGATCGCTCTCGTGCCACGGTGGTGGCTCCTGGGGATTGTCCGATGAATTTGTTGTAGACATGTGGAACGGGACGACGAGGAGAATTCGAAATGATCCCTGGTGCCGGATTAATAATATTTTAAGGGGGGGATATGAAATTCAGTTTAGAGGATAGTCGAAGATCAATCAATTCCAAGCACCACGAGCATTATTGCTATTATTATTATTATTATTATTGCTGAGCTCATGGGAGTGCTCATGATGATGCTAGTACTATACGATACGTAGTATATCAAATTTCTTGCTTGCTGATAGAAAAGACCAGGCTAAATCTTCTCATAAACAAGAGTATCGTACTCTTATTGCAATGGCCAGAAGATCATTGATTTAATTAAGGATTGTTTGACCCCATACAGCTAATAACATTTATAGCTATTGAAAATTAGCTAAGGTTCTGATGGGATCCACAGCTGATAAGCTAATTAATATCTTACCTATCACCTAGCTAACAATAATTAGCTATTAGTTGATTTCTCCTAGCTAACATAATTAATAGTAATTAGCTGGGTGGATTCAAATGGGGCCATAGTTAAACTAGTAGGCATTATAATTATATTTTGCTAGAGTTAGGCAAGCAACCAAACAGAGCCTTAATTGATATACGTAGGAGTGGAGCGTTTCCTTCTGCTTTATAGGTCAAGCAGTCAAATGCTACGATCATAGATGGAAGGAGGGAGTAGGGTACTATTTTTCTTCGGCACTGCCACCGTCCGGACGTCGGGCCCTTCGCACCGAGCCATCCCAGATCCGCCCGCCCTTGTCCACGCGGGATAGAACGCAAACGAAAAACTCCGCTCACTTCTCTTCCCCACCTGACCCCCCGCGGGAATAGAACGGAACGTCGTTCCCCGCTTCC